ATATATATATATATATATATATATATATATATACACACACATACATACATATATATATATATATATATATATATATATATATAATTGATTTTTTACAGAGAGGAAGAGAGAGAGATAGAGAGTTAGAAACATTAATGAGAGAGAATCATCCATCAGTTGCCTCCTGCACACCCCCTACTGGGGATGTGCCCGCAACCAAGGTACATGTCCCTGACCAGAATTGAACCTTAGACTCTTCAGTCCGCAGGCCGATATTCTATCCACTGAGCCAAACCGGATTCAGCTATTATTGATTTTTAGAGAGAGAGAGGAGGGAAGAGATGGAAATATCAATTTGTTGTTCCACTTAATTTACTTTTTAAATATATATATAATTGATTTCAGAGAGGAAGGGAATTAGAGAGATAGAAACATCATTGATGAGAGAGAATCATTGACTGGCTGCACCCCAGTGGGCTTAGCATGTGCCCTTAACTGGAACCAATCCTGGGACCCTTTAGTCCAGAGGCTGATTCTCTATCCACTGAGCCAAACAGCCAAACCGGTGAAGGCTAAAGACTAGTTTTGTTTTTTAAAGTTCAGCAAGTAGTTCTTATTTATCCCCTCTTTTTAAAACCCAAGTTTCTATTGACCTTAAAAAAAGACGAAGGTTGTGTACAGGTGATGTACACTGTGCACTTGAAACCTGTGTAATTTTGTTAACCAGTGTCACCCAATAAATAAATGAAAAGAAAAACAATGTGGGGGAAAAGAAAAATGATTTTTTAAAATGCAAGTTTACATTAAAAAAAAAAAGAGAGAGAGAGAGAGAGACAAAGGTAGATGGAGATAGAAACATTGATCAGCTGCCCCCTACTGGGAATTGAGCTCATAATCCTAGTATGTGCCCTGAGTTGGCATCAAACCTGCTACCTGCCACTTTTTAGTTCACAGGATGGTGCTCCAACCTGCTGAGCCACACCAGCCAGGACTTGATTTTTTTTCTTTTCTTATTTATTTATTGTTAGACAAAGGAAGGGAGAGAGAGAAACATCAATGTCATCAATTGGTTACCTCCATTCCCCAACCGGGGTTCATCCTGAACTAAAACCTAGATATAGCCGAAATCTGTTTGGCGCAGTGGATAGAGAGTCAGCCTGCGGACTGAAGGGTCTAAGGTTCAATTCCAGTCAAGGGCATGTACCTTGGTTGCGGGCACATCCTCAGTTCAAGAGGCAGCTGATCGATGACTCTCATCAATGTTTTTAACTCTGTATATCTCTCCTTTCTTCTCTGTAAAAAATCAATAAAATATATTTTTTAAAAATCTAGATATATGCTTTGACTGGGAATTGAACTGGAAACCTTTTTGGTATACAGGAAGAGACTCCAACCAACAGCCACCCAATTAGGGCTGGAATGTCATCTTTAAATGGCTGGAATAAAAAAGAAACTCCTGACAATCCATGATTCTATATCCAGAAAAATCATTCTTTAAGAATGAAGACAGTCCTAGTTGGTTTGGCTCAGTGGATAAAGCGTCCACCTGTGGACTGAAGGGTCCCAGGTTCGATTCCCGTCAAGGGCACATGCCTGGGTTGTGGGCTCCAACCCCAGTAGGGGTTGTGCAGGAGGCAGCCAATCAATGATTCCCTCTCATTATTGATGTTTCTTTCTCTCTCTCTCCTTTCCTCTCTGAAATCAATTAAAAAAAAAAAAAAATGAAGACAAACCTGGCTGGTGTACTCAGTGGTTAGAGCTTCTGCCTACATACTAGAGGGTCTTGGGTTCGATTCCAGTCAAAGATACATACTGGGTTGCAGATTGTAGGTCCACCCCCCAGCCCCAGTCAGAGCAACCAATCCATGTCTCTCTCTCACATCTATGGTTCCCTCTTCTCTCTCCCCCTTCCCTTTCACTCTCTCTAAAAATAAATGGAAAAAATATTCTCACTCCTTGGGTGAGGATTGAGAAAAAAGAATGATGATTGCCAAAACTGGTTTGGCTCAGTGGATAGAGCGTCAGTCTGCAGACTGAAGGGTCCCAGGTTTGATTCCGGTCAAGGGCATATGCTTTGGTTATGGGCACATCCCCAGTGGGGCGTGTGCAGGAGGCAGCTGGTTGTCTTTCATCGATGTTTCTAGCTCTCTGTGCCTCTCTCCATTCCTCTCTGTAAAAAATCAATAAAATACATTAAAAAAAAAAGAATGACGATAAGCCAGACATTTAAGACAAATATCATGTGATCTCACTTATATGTAAACCTACCGTATTTTCCGGCGTATAAGACGACCCCCTAATTTTACAGTTAAAACATAGGTTTAGGCCTATATTCGCTGTATAAGACTACCCCCCACTTCCGAGGCAACACCAGATCTTTTTTTAATAGACCGCCTCTCTGACTCTGGCCAATCTGAGCAGGCTTTTTACTAGAACACAGTGTAGCTTCGGGTACAGAACATGTATAATTTGCATGCATAAAAAGCCTGCTTGGATTGGCTGAGTTAGAGAGGCAGGCGGTCTATTAAAAAAAGAACTGGTGTTGCCTCAGAAGTGGAGGCTAGTCTTATACAGCGAATATAGGCCTAAACCTATGTTTTAACTGTAAAAATTAGGGGGTCGTCTTATACGCCAGAAAATACGGTAAAAACAAACAAAAACAAACCTCAATCTCATAGCTACAAAACAGATTGGTGGTTGATGCAGCAGGGAGTGGGTAAATGAAATGGTGAAGGTGGCCAAATGGCACAAACATCCAATTATGAAGTAATAAGTCATGGGGGATGTAGTGTACAGGATGGTGACTATAGTAAATAACACTGTATTGCATATTTGAAAGTTGCTAAGAAAGTAAATCTTAAGTCTCATCACAAATAATAAAAATAGTATAATTACGTGTAGTGATAAATGTTAACTAGATTTGTGATCATTTTGCAATATACATAAATATTCAATGACTAGAGGCTCGGTGCACGAAATTTGTGCACGGGTGGGGGGGTTTCCCTTGGCCCAGCCTGCACACTCTCCAATCTCAGATCCCGCTCACAGTCCAGGACTACTGGCTCCCAACTGCTCACCTGTCTGCCTTCCTGATTGCCCCTAACCACTCTGCCTGCCCCCCTGATTATCCCCTATCCACTTCCCTGCCAGCCTGATTGATGTCTAACTGCTCCCCTGCCAGCCTGTTTGTTCCCAATTTCCCTCCTCTGCCGGCCTGGTCACCCCTAACTGTCCTCCCCTGCAGGCTTGATCTCCCCCAACTGCTCTCTCTTCCAGGCCTGGACCCTACCAACTGCCCTCTCCTGCTGGCCATCTTGTGGTGGCCATCTTGTGTCCACATGGGGGCAGGATCTTTGGCCACATGGGGGCAGCTATCTTGATCTTGTGTGCTGGAGTGATGGTCAATCTGTATATTGCTCTTTTATTATATAGGATTATGTTGCATACTTGAAACTAATATAATGCCATATGAAAATAATACCTCTATTAAAAAAAAAAAAAGCCAAAACTGGTTTGGCTCAGTGGATAGAGCATCAGCCTGCGGACTGAAAGGTCCCAGGTTCAATTCTGGTCAAGGGCATGTACCTTGGTTGCGGGCACATCCCCAGTAGGGAGTGTGCAAGAGGCAGCTGATCAATGATTCTCCCTCATCGATGTTTCTAACTCTCTATCCCTCACTCTTCCTCTCTGTAAAATAGCAATAAAATCTATTTTTTAAAAATCCCCACACAAACTATCAAATCATACCCAATATAAAATGGATAATTTGAATACCCTTGTTACTAATAAAGAAATTGAATTTGTGCCGAAACCGGTTTAGCTCGGTGGATAGAGCGTCGGCCTGCAGACTGAAAGGTCCCACGTTCGATTCTGGTCAAGGACACATCCCCAGTGGGAATTGTGCAGGAGGCAGTTGATCAATGTTTCTAACTCTCTATCCCTCTTTTCCTCTCTGTAAAAAAATCAATAAAAATATATTTTAAAAAGCCAAAACCAGTTTGGCTCAATGGATAGAGCATCAGCTTGGGGACTGAAGGGTTCTGGGTTCGATTCCGATCAAGGGCATGTACCTTGGTTGCAGGCACATTCCCAGTAGGGGGTGTGCAAGAAGCAGCTGATCGATGATTCTCTCTCATCAATGTTTCTAACTCACTATCCCCTCTTTCTTCTTCTCTATAAAAAATCAATAAAATATATTATATATATATATATATATATATATATATATTTAAAAAGATATTGAATTTGCAATATTCATAATACCTGGGAGAAAAAATAATGACGATAAAGCCCTGGCAGATGTAGCTCAGTGGATGGAGTATTGTCTGTGCACCTGAAGTTTGCAGGTGCGGTTTCCAATCAGGGCCCATAGGTTTTGGGTTCCATCCCTGGTCCCCAGCATAGGTGAGGCAACTCTTTGATATATGTCTCACATTGATGTTTCTCTCTCTGTCGTTCTCTTCCTTCCTCTAAAGAATAAAAAATTAAAAGAATAAATACATTTTTTAGATAAAAGAAAACCCAGGAGTGATCAGCCAATCTGAATGACAAAAAAATGCTAACAAGATAGATCTTATATTGTCCTAACACAGAGACACACAACAACAACAATAATAAAAATAATAAAGAGTGTGGGAGAAAACTTTTGGAGATGATGGATATGTTTATGGCATATATTGTGATGGTTTCACATTTATCGATATATGCTCATCTCCAAATCCTACGCATTAAATATATACAGCTTCTTGTCAATATTTAATGACTGCGTTGGTACGAGAAAACAAATATGATCCACACTGAGTTCCTATTATTATTGATTTTTTTCCTTCTGATTTTAACAGAAATTGACGTATTTTTCCCTTGGGCCCTCGGAGTGGATAACAGTCGGGGATGGGGACCGAGCAGGGGAAGGGGCGGGGACAGATGGGCAGGAGGCCAGCGCTGCTCCAGGCCGTCCACCCTGTCCTTCCTCTCCCCTCCGCCCTCCTCCGGGCCTCCGCCCCTCCTCCCTCTCCCCCTCTCTCCCTCGCCGGAGCGTTAGAATCCCGCGCGCTCGCTCCGGTTTCCGCGGCGCCATGAGCCGCCTGTTGGGTGGCGCGCTGCTGTGCGGCTCGCGGGCCTGGGTCCCCGGCCTGCTCGCGCGCCCCTGCTCGGGTGAGTCGGGGGAGGGGTCGGCAGGAGGCGCCTCCTAGCCCGGGTTGGCGCACAGGCTGGGGGCCTAGACCCCGCAGTCCTCCGGACTCGCTGGGAAGTCAGGCGGGTGCGGGGAGTGGGGGTGGGGTGGGGGGCGATCGAAGTCCCGGAAGGCGCGCTCTTTGGGTTTCTGCGGGGACGGGCCGGGGTCCTGCACGCCCCCCCACCCCCCACTGTCGCTCATTGCTCTCCAACCCCTCCCCCACGCCTGCCGCCCACCTCCCCAGGTTGCCTGGGGCAGAGGGACTCAGGGACCCTGGAGCAGAAGAAAGCCAGAGAGAGGCCTAGGGTGGTGATGTGATCCCCGCGGAGCTGGGCTCCTGAAAGGGAAGTCACTCTCCGCAGATGAGAACTCCTCCCTCAGAGCCGCTGTGGTGTTTTCTCTAGGACTTAGGAGCCGCTGCGGTGTTTTCTCTAGGCCCTAAGTCCGCCTGCCCGCACCTCTTTGGGGCCCTGGGGCCCTTATCTGTAAGCGGCCCTCTACCCTGAGAGCCAGATGTCTTGGCGCTCCAGCACTGGCCAGAGTGCGCTGCCATCTTCCGAGGCCAGGCTAGTCAGCAGGCCCCCAGGCACTGAATTCGGGGGGAACAGACTAGTTGGGGGCTTCTGTCCCTGGTGGGCCTCATTTGGCCCTGAAGGGACGTGCGAGCAGGCCACCCACAGGCCGGTTTGGGCTAATTTTCCTCTTGGGGATGCGGAATGGCAGCTGCAGATGCCCCCTGGGACGCTGGCTGACTCCAATCTTCTCATTTCTCCACCGGTTCTGTCTTCGAAGGACTTTGCAGGCCATCCAGAGTCTGGGCTTTTCTCAAGAGCACAATTGAGCCTGGATCCAGTGCTGTGGGTTTGCGTCACTCAGAAGCGGCTTGGGCTGTGGGAGGGTGAAGCAGCCTCCCATTCCTTAGCGGTGCTGGGCCGGGCTCAGTGCTCTCCTTGGGCCTGGAAGCTCCCCACCTCAAAACCTCACAGCAGCACAGAGTTCCTGCCTGGCCAGGAAGGTGGAGGAGAAGTCCTCCAGTCCTCCAGGCTTCCTCACCTGCAGACAGGAACCCCTCTCCCTCCTCCATCCCCAGGGCCACTCGGCCTGGTGTCTGGCTACCCGGTGGGGAGGATATACTGCCTTCCCCTTGGCGCTCTGCCATATTCTTTCACCTCAGACCCAGAAGATGGGCTCTGGTCCTTGGTGATGCGGCCGTGCCTGTGCTATCGCCCCCAAGGACAGGAGTCAAAAGTGAGGCCAAGAGTCATGCTTTCTTCCCCGTGAGTCATCCCTGGGTCTCCTGGCCCTCGGGGGACACCAGCTCCATCATGAGCAGCTTCTGTTACTGCCGGGGAGGGAGCTCTGGCCCCTCCAACAGGTTGGAAGCCCCCAGAAATCCAGTGCCCCGATTATCCCTGACAGGCAGGGCAGTTCCTGGCTGTGGGCACCACACTTAGCCCCTTCCAGAGCTCTCTGGCGGAGGCAGACACTGTAGCCCAGGTGTCACCGGGGCCCTGGCAGGGGAACCCAGTCAGGAGGCCTGAAAGGTGAGGCAGCGTCCCTGAACCCTCCTCTTCTAAAGGAGGGCCCCTCGGGAGCCGGGAGCGGACCCTGGTGGCCGTGAAGCCGGACGGGGTGCAGCGGCGGCTTGTTGGGGATGTGATCCGGCGTTTTGAGAGGAGGGGCTTCAAGCTGGTGGGGATGAAGATGCTTCAGGTACCAGGGCCCTTGGCCTGTGGGTGTCCCTCCGTGCAGCAGGGGGAGGGCTTCTTATGGACCTCAGGACCTCAGCCCGTCCTGTCGGCCCTGCTCCAGGAGGAGCGTCCTGTTGGAAGCAGAAGGGGAGGGAAGGAGAGGTGGAGTTGGTGGTATCTCCTGCACTGCTGTGCTCGACATGCCGGCTCATGGAGGCATTACCTGCCAAGTCATCGCCCCAGTGTCTACTGGGGTTCGCTCTCCAGGGCTCCTCTCACTCCCTCTCCCAATGCCACCCAGGCGCCAGAGACCGTCCTCGCTGAGCACTACCACGACCTTCGGAGGAAGCCCTTCTACCCAGCCCTCATCAGCTACATGAGCTCTGGCCCCATGGTGGCCATGGTATGGCCTGGTGGGAGGGGTGGGGGGCCTGGTCGAGCCTCGGGCTGCTGAGCCCTTGGCGATCCCCACTTCTCCTGACCTTATCTCCGTGCTGCAGGTCTGGGAAGGCCCCAATGTGGTCTGCACCTCAAGGGCCATGATAGGGCACACGGACTCGGCCGAGGCTGCCCCCGGCACCATCCGAGGCGACTTCAGCTTCCACATCAGCAGGTACAGGGGCCCTGGCACACTCGGACACTAGCTCGTCGTTTTGCTGGGTGAAAGCTAAGCCGGAAGAGACTTTTACTGTGGGGCATCACACCTCTGACTTGCTAGTCTCAGGGAGATCAAGTATTCCCTGAGTGTTGTGTCTTTGCCGCATCATCATTGTCTGTTGATGTTTTCTGACTCTATCTTGCCAGATACCCTGAGGGAGGACTGGTGGGAAAATGAGGCTCCCAGTAACAGTCTGGGCTGGTCCATGAGGTTGTGGGTAAGAGGCCAAGGCCAGGCTGGAACCCAGTTATCTAGCTCCCCTCTTCTTCTTTCCCCACTGAATAATCAGCTTGCTCCTCTGGATAGTAGGGAACGAGCAGGCCTTTCCCAGGACCTCCAAGGCGCATGTGGAAGCCTGTGCCTTACCTTTGCTACCTGTTACCTGGCACAGGAACGTCATCCACGCCAGCGACTCCGTGGAGGGGGCCCAGCGGGAGATCCAGCTGTGGTTCCAGAGCAATGAGCTGGTTGACTGGGCAGACGAAGGCCCCCGGAGCAGCCTCTACACAGCCTGAGCCTCAGGCTGCCCTAGGCTGCCCCCAGCACCCGCCCAGGACCAACTACCTCTGTCCACAAGAACTCGAGCCCACACTGTGCTGTGCCCTTCCGTCCCAGACCACTTCCCCGTTCACCTTCCGCCTCGGCCCAGAGCAGAATAGCCACCTTTATGTGCCTTTTGGTATCTTAAACCAGCAAGAGATTGAACCAAATCCTTTCCATACCAAAATGCCAGACCCACCTTTGCGGTGGTCTCCAAAAGTGGTTTGACCTCCCCTCCCCCACAGGGGAGCCATTAAAAGTCCTTGTGCTGTGCGTGGGGGTGGAGCACTCATTATGTTGGTGGGTGGCTCGGTACTAATGAGGCCTTGAAGCAAGGCTGTATCAACCAGTAGGGGGTCAGTGGAATGTATGACTCAGGCAGAGATCCAGAGACCTCCGCCCTGAAATTGGGGGGAATCCAAGCTGGGCCCTGAAGCTGGTGCTGACCCAACACTATTCTGATTCCGCTGAAGGAGGAGCTTCCTGCCTCGGACAGGACTGGAGGGTGGCAGGAGCTGGTGGCTGGGAGGTGGTGGCTAAGACCACCCTCAGGGCAGAAAGCTTGGTGACTCTCACCACCTCCCCTCTTCCTGGCTTCATGTGACTGAGGCTGCCTGGTGTTTACTTGTTGACACTGCATCTCACCCCCTCGTTCCCAAGTGTCCCTACTCACTCTTGACAGGTACTGGACACCACACAGCACACATCATTACATCTGCTAAGGCTGACTTGGTCCTCATTTGGTATTTTTTCCTTCTTAAAGTTCTTTTTTTTTTTAAAGGTTTTTTTTTTTAGATAGGGGAAAGGAGAGGGATAGAGAGATAGAAACATCAATAAGAAACACTGCCGAAACCCGATTGGCTCAGTGGATGGAGCGTCAGCCTGCGGACTGAAGGGTCCTGGGTTCGATTCTGGTGGGGGGCGTGTGCCTTGGTTGCGGGCACATCCCCAGTAGGGGTGGTGGTGCAGGAGGCAGCTGATCGATGATTCTCTCTCATGGATGTTTCTATCCCTTTCTCTTACTCTCTGTAAAAAATAAAAAAAAAATAAAAAAGAAACATCAACATTGATGGGCTGTCTCCTCTGCATGCCCCCTATTGAGGATCGAACCCTGACCTGGAATCAAACTAGCAGCCTCTTGGTCCATGGGTTGATGCCCAACCACTGAACCACCCTGGCCAGGCTTTTTTTCCCTTCTTGATGAAGGATGGCCTGGTCCTTGCCCTGACATTTATCGTTCTAGAAACGGGTCATTTTAGGAATTGGCCCTGGGCCTGGACAAGTGAAGCAAAGCCTTTCCATGGCTTTTTCTTGGCTGGGGTCTCCTTCCCTCCTCTTCTCTTTGATATTTATGCCAGAGGGTAGGCAAGGGCATTTACATGCTGAGCGCTTCCCAACCAGCCGTTTTACATGCACAGCCTGGCCAGCCTGACCTTAAACCTGGAAGGAGTGTCCGCGGCATCCAGCTGGCTCCCACCACGGTGCTAACACCCAGTCTTGCGGAGAGGACTTAGTCTTGTGGACAGGTCGGAGGCCCACTCACCTGGCCTCAGCCACAGAAATCCGCCTGCAGCTCTGCGCTTGCGCCTGCCATGGGTCTCTCTGCAGGCCATGTGGCCACAGGGCGCGACATGTCCTGGAGGACGCCGGGGGGCAGCCGTGGGCAGGGCTGGCGGCGGAGGAGGCGGTGGTCCAGGGAGGAGCGAGGGGCCGCGGTGCAGGGCGGTGCGGGCGGGCGCCCGGAGAAGGGCGCGGAGGCTCCCAAGCCGGGCGTCCTGGGCGGAGCGGGGGTGCCAGCGGGCGGGGCGGCGGCGATGGGCGGGACCTCGTTCCCCGGACTCTACGGGTGCTCAGAAGTGACGGTGCCACGGCGCCTCTGGTCCCGGTGGTGGCAGCCGGCGCTCTGATCCGAAGCAGGTCCTGCTGTGCCCAGCGCCATGGCCCAGCCGCCGCCCGATGTCGGCGAGGATGACTGCCTCCCGGAGTACCGCCACCTCTTCTGCCCCGACCTGCTCCGGTGAGGGCCTGTCCGGGCCTGCGGGCGGGAACGGGGTCAGGCACCGGGGACGCCGGGACCCGGCCTGGAGCTGGAGGCGCCTGGGGAGTAGGACCTGGGGTTCGGGCGTCCAAGGGCTCTGGAACTTTGATCTTTGCACTGGAGAGCTCCTGTTTGGCCTGGCTGGTGCTGGTGGGCATTGCTGATGGCAATTCTGGGAGGGTGGAGGTGAGGGACAGCGAGGACGGCTTGTACGCTTTGAAAACATTACTCACTGAACTCACAACTTTATGAATAGAGAATTTCAGGCTGAAATAGGATTTCCCGAAGACCCAGAAAGCCTAGCCATGCAGGCGTTAGCGTTTTAATTTCTTACAAAAGTTATTTGGTATCAGCCTGAATTTGCTAGAAGTGCCCAGTTCACAGGTCAGAGTCCTCCCAGAACCACAGTCTTCTCCCACTCCCCAGTTAATGGGGATACCTTTAAAAAGCCTTGTGTTGTTTAATTCTTGTTTAAATTATTACATAAGTCTCCTTTTCCCCCATTGACCTCTCCCCGCTGCCCCCACCCCTCAAAAAGCCTCGTGTTTTCCTCCCCCAGGGACAAAGTCGCCTTCATCACAGGCGGTGGCTCTGGGATCGGATTCCGGATTGCTGAGATTTTTATGAGGTGAGCACTCTGTTTGTTCTGTGCCCACCACTCCATCTCCACTGCGGACTCTCCCGCTTCCTCACACCTTCCCTTCCCGCTGGATCCTGGGATTCCTGGGCTGGTGGGTGTGGGACCCTCTCTGGGCAATGAGCCGTTTAAGAACATCTGAAAGGGGTCAAGTGCTGTCCTAGGGAGGCAGGACTCCAGGGCCCTCTCCTAGACCGTAGTGGAGACTGTGTGGCTCTGGTCTGAGTGCCCTCGTTTATACAAAGAGGGAGGTTCAGCAGCTTGTGGAAACTATTGCAGAGCCCCAGGGGCTTGGCTGAGCCAGAGTCATGGAGAGTCCGGTTGCATGTGGAACACAGCTTCTCTCTCTCTCTCTCTCTCTCTCTCTCTCTCTCTCTCTCTCTCTCTCTTTTAACACATTTTATTGATTTTTCACAGAGAGGAAGAGAGAGGGATAGAGAGTTAGAAACCTGGAAGAGAGAGAATCATCGATCAGCTGCCTCCTGCACACCCCCCACTGGGGATGTGCCCACAACCAAAGTACATGCCCTTGACCGGAATCAAACCTGGGACCTTCCAGCCCGCAAGTCGACGCTCTATCCACTGAGTCAAACCGGTTTCGGTCACAGTGTCTCTTGGGACACAAGTTCTATGGTCTCAGGTCCAAGTCAAATATTTATCACCCCGACCTGGGAAAGGCCCAGAGGTAGGCTGGGGTTGGGGGGGAGGGAGCCTGTTGATATCCTAGGGACCCTCACTTTTCGTACCAGAGAGCCGAGTCCCACTGGACAAGATTTTGGGGTTCATTCGTTCTAGGTGAACTTTTTTGCCAAACTGGTGGTTTTGGGCTCTTTGCTTCTCTGAACAGAGGATGGCTAGCTGGTCAGGGTTATTTTGAGGAGTAGGTAGAACCGGCTTAGAAGGTGATAGCTGCTATTGTTACCCCCAACCCCGTGAGGCTCAGGTTGTGAGGAGGTGACCCAGGGCACGTGCCCTGACCTCAGAATGGGCTTTCTGTCCTCCTCTCCAGCATCACAGGGAGGGAGAGAGGACAGGGCCACTTGGGGCCATGCCAGGGGGACCCAGAAGGCCTCAAGCCAATGCTTGAGCCCCCGTTTGATGTCCACAGCGGCTTTGGTGCTATGCACACGGAGTTTGGGGCAGGGCCTGTATCCTGATGCCAGAGAGGCCGGCCCAGAAACGCTGGGAGTGGGACTAAGGCAGCCACCGGAAGTCCCCCCACAGTGGCTTAGCTGTGTTCAGCCCCCTGAGTCCTCTGACAGCTGTACCTTCCACATCGGGCTGGTGTTTCAGCCCCAGAGACCCTGGGGGGATGGGGGCTCTGCTTAGAGCTCTGGGCAAGAGCCCATCTAGGTTTAACTCCTGGCACCTTGCCACCCTCACTCCTGCCCTCTGGCTTTGCAGGCACGGCTGCCACACGGTCATTGCCAGCAGAAGTTTTCCGAGAGTATCGATGGTAAGGTGTCTCTACTATGCCTGTCCCATTCGTGGGTGGCTGTGGAGACCCCGAGCCTGGATCTGGAGGGTCCTGAGGCCCAGAGGATGTTGACTCCAAAAGCTGCTCCTCTTCCAAATATCAAGCTTCGGTGGAGGTTGTCTTCCAGGAAAACACCTGGCTTTTAAGAGTGTTCAATTACGGGGTCCTGCGAGGGACCCTCGTGTTGAATGGTACTGATGCCAAGAGACATCTCTGAGCTCAGCTGGGTTATAATAGCGGTCCACATATCCTACCCACCTTGGAGGAAAGTCTCACCCCTGCCACAGTGGGACCCCGGGCAGGAAGTCGGGTAGAGCTGTCACTGACCCATGACCAAGTGGCCTGGAAGGTGATGTGGAGGGAGGAGTGTTGCATCTCTGAGAAATGTCCACTCGGAGTTGTGGACCCAGGGAATGGCTACCTGCCAGCCGCATCTCTCAAGAGCGGAGTCCACAACAAACCCTGGCTTCCCAGCAGAACCTGGACACATCCTCCTTGGATTGTGAAGGGCTGTTCTCTCTAGGCTGAGCCACTTGGCCCTTGCCCACCTCTTCTCTCCCTTCCCGTCTGGCTTCTAGGCTGCCAGAAAGCTGGCTGCAGCCACTGGCCAGCGTTGCCTCCCTCTATCCATGGACGTCAGAGATCCCCCGGCCATCATGGCTGCCGTGGACCAGGCACTGAAGGAGTTTGGAAAAATCGACATTCTCATAAACTGTGAGTCACTGTTAAGCCAGGCCAGGGGTTTTCTGTGGAGTCAGCAATACTAGACCTTCCTTCTTGGAGGTCCCAGAACTTTTATCCCGGGCTCCTGGCCACTCTCTTGGCCAACTCTGTCCCTGCCAAGTCATTTCAGTGTGAACTTGACTGAATCGGAGTCAGAGGCAATCTCAAGCCTCCTTCCCTGTCCAGCTTGTGCCATCCTGAAGTCTGTATGCTCTGACTGCCCAGGGCTCCCGCACCATCCGTGTCTCCTTCCATCCGCAGGTGCAGCCGGGAACTTCCTGTGCCCGGCCAGCTCGTTGTCCTTCAATGCCTTCAAGACCGTGATGGACATCGATACCTTGGGCACATTCAACGTGTCTCACGTGCTCTACAAGAAGTTCTTCCGGGTGAGTGTTCTC